AAAGTAGGCCTATTTCAGCTTTGACCAGAAAGCCATCGATATTAATTACTTGGCAAATAACCTACAGTTGCCCCAGAGGCATCTCTGCTAGCTAGCTTGTAAAGACAAGTCTAAACCACCTTTGCTGGCTATACTCCAAGCAATCCTAAATTTGCCCTGATAGCAGAGGAACCAGAGAGCAAGTGGAATTGATCCAAATCCCCAACCCCTCCTCAGCCAATCTCCTGTCCAGCATAGCAAAGCCCCTATACTCAACCTGATTCTGGGAAAGAAATTCTTCTTAGTCAGCTCTTCCACCGAGGGTGTTAATTTTATTCACTGACACCCACACTGTGTACAAACATGCAAATCATTAACATTTCCATTTACTAGACTTGTATGGCCCCTAGCTGCTGGGATTTCTGAAGGAGATAACAATTCAATTTACAATTACTGCTGCAGTTTTTAATTCCCAAGGAAACTTCTGCTTATGTTGTTATTCTCAAGAGCCAAAACAAGCACTGAAAGCAACCCTACAAATCATTTCTGTAAAACAAAACAAAACAAAAATCTGAAGAAGAATGGAGGCCTTTGAGGAAGGCAGGATTATAGGTCTAATTCAGAGTTCATTTTGTTCTCAATTTCAATTTTATCCTAGGAGTCTGGGCCAGTGAATTAATAATAAAATGTTGACTCTATGATTTAAAGGTTTTTTCTTGCAGCAATCTTTTGCAAACTTCCAATTGCTGCAGTATACAGGAAAGCACAATTCTTTTCACTTCCCAGTACCTCTACTCTGAGCATATTCCAAGAGGGGTTATAACCACCATATAACCTCCAACAGTTGTTGCTTAAGTGCTGTGGAGTCAGTTCAAACTCATAGCGAAACTATATAGAGTTTTCAAGGAGCAGCTGGTGGGCTTGAACTGTCAACCTTGTGGTTAGCAGTCCAGTGCTGATCCTACAGCACCACACAGGAGTACCTTTTATTGTACAATTGCTATGGATCAGGAACCAGGCTGCCCTTCAAACCCCATTTAATACCCATGGTAAAAGTGTGAGCCAGTGACTATACGCACTCAGACAGTACACCAGTGCTGGGGACTGAACAGTGAACATGGTAGACGGGGCCCTGGGGCAGTTTACATCCAAGTGGTGCAATAAACAGATCAATTTTTTTAAAGTATGTGGTTAAGTGCTATAAAGAAAATAAATAAGACACCCTCATTTGGAGGTGGGCCACTGGGGATACAACGGCTGAGGGAATGAGGCAATCTGGATAATAAACCTCACTTGTTTAACGTCAGACACAAATTGGCAGCAGAGCTCCAGCTGGAACTCCCAGGACCACACTGGAAGTCATGGTATTATCCTGACTGCCATCCTATTACTTTGTATGGGACAAGCTAGAATTCACTATGGTAATACAAATTAGTTAAACTTACCAAACATGGAAAGCATTTATAATTTTACTTAAATGCAAGAGCATCATCTCAGTCCTCTAGTGGGGTATATGTCCTGTGATAGTTAAAACCAGCACAGAGAAGATTTCTGTTGTTGTTAAGTGCCATCGAGTCATTTCTGATCCATAGTGACCCTGTATAGGGTTTCTAAAGAGCAGCTGGTGAGCTTGAACCACCAACCTTGCAGTTCAAATGGCTTTGCAGTCTGGCACATTAACCCACAGCACTACACCAGGACTCCAGAGAAGATTTCTGCTAGGTGTAAAATGCTCTTGAGGGTGGCGGAAGGCAGAGGTGGTGAGATTCAGATTTATCCCAAGGTCTTTCTGTCACTTCAAATTTTCAACTTTCCAGGTGTATGGCTTGGAAACAGAAACAAAGATAATCTAAAGTGCAGATAAGGATTTCCTTTAAATTTGCCTTTAGTTGAAGCTTAACACCTTCTTAATTACAATTGCCTCTGGCTAAAGTCTCCAGGACATGCCAATGCAGGGCAACCAGCTGGGCAGAAGCCAGGGGGCCAGCATGGGCTTTCCTGCTGCCTGGAGCCAAACCACACTAGGCCATGCCCCAGTTTCCTGCTCACTTGCCCCTAAACAAACACTAACACCACAGAGATTTCACAACCATGAGGAACACAGACTATAGGAATTGTACTCACAGCTGGGGTGGTACCTGAGATTCATGTACTATAGTTCCTAAATAAAACCTCATTTCCAAAACAAAAACAACCTTTTAAGCAAAGACAAAAGAGAGAGGGGTGAAGGGCTACTCCATAGCCTTGTTCCTGTGGGTCCTCAGCAGGGCTTCAGTTTTAGGTTCTGAGATGAACTTTAGATTGGAGAAACAAATTGCCTTCCCAGAGCCTAACCTGTGAAACACACAAAGCCCAACAACAGCACAGGCCAGCTCCTCAATCTGGGAAGGCTGTGAAATCCGGGGCCAGGAGGTACTCTTCCTTTTAACCCCCAATTCATTGTGGATCCTGAAATTCCTACAATCAACAGAGGTTCAAAACTCCCTCTCATTTAAACTACTGAATACCAAATTTACAACAGCAACTGGAAAGATTACACGGGAAACTTCAGGTACAGTGAGCTTATATTAATAAGGCAAGAAGAGCTCAGAAAAGAAGAGGATGGTTGCACAACTCAAAGAATGTCATCAACATCACTAAATTGTACATGCAGAAACTGTTAAAGGTGTACATTTTGCTGTGAATATTCTCAACAAAACAATTTTTTTTAAATTACTAAATATACTATAAACAAAAGAACAAAATGAAACATAAAACCATTCTTTAATTTTTGTCTACAAAGCCATCTGCTGCCCACAAAATGTCTACAAAAATTTAACCCTTACATTTTTCTAGAGTCAGAGACAATCAGAAAGTAAGCAAATATATTAAATTCCTGTTATAAAACGTAAAAATGGCGCTGTTGAGTTGTACTGTCAATACTGATTTTTCTTTGAGTGCCTAGAGATACCAGCCACTGTGGCAATGAAGAGAGATGCATCCCAGCCTGCTTCAGCAAAGACCCATTTTTGCTAAGGTTCACTCTGCATTACCACTGCAGTTGTTTTTTAAACTAAACTTAACAACAACAACAAAAAAGTCAAATACATTTAAGGAAATTCAATGAACTTCATATCTCATGGGCTATGTTTTAAGTGCTGTTAAGTCAGTTCAGATTTATAGTGACCCTCTATATAGAGTTTCTGAGAAACAGCTGGCTAATCTGAACTGCCAACATTGCAGTTCAAACCAACCTTGTGGGCCAGTGCATTATCCCACAGCGCCATACTAGGACTCCCTCGTGGACTACATAACGTGTTAAAATTGACCATATTTTGCTTATTTATATGCCCCCCTTTTTTGTCAAACCATTTTACAGTAAATTATAGGCATCATGACCCTTCATAAACCCTTACATACTTCATTCAGCAAGACATCCTCCTACAGAATGCAAAAATTAATGCAGTTATCATTATTAGCTACCACCAAGTTCAAATTTAAATTTTCCAAATTGTCCTCCAAAGTGCTTTATAGCTACTTTGCTCAAACTCGATTCCTATTAAGTGTGTGGCACTGCACGTTAATGCACTGGACTGCAAGGTCTGTTTGAACTGAAAAGTTGCTGTTCAAGCTTACCATGTGCTCCTCTGAAACCCTACACAGGTAGCTATGGGTTGGAACTGACTCGACAGCACTTAACAACAACAACAAGGCATAACTTAGTCACAGTAACAAGTTGGACAAAGAATGAGAAAATCAAAGCAGAGACTCTGAAACCTGACAGTAAACTGCAGTAACTGCAAGGTTGGCAGTTCAAACCCACAAGTCGCTCTCAGAAACCCTATCCAGGATCTCTATGAGGTGGAAGCAACTTGATGGAACACAACAACAACAACATTTATCCCTTTGAAAAGCAAAAAAAAGAAAATCTATAATACTGTTGTTGTTGAGCAACATTGAGTCGGTTCAAACAGACCTTGTGGTCCCAAGCACTATCCTGCAGCAGCACAGAGACAACAAATATGAACACACACCCAGATGTATAGTTAGGATCAGTCTGGCTACTCATCAAATACGGCACATGGAGCCTTCTTTAAGGCATAGTAGGCACTGTAGAATAAGCAATGAACTGCTAACCACAAAGTCCGAAGTTCAGACACAGCAGCCGCTCCTCAGAAACCCTATAAAGGATCCCTGTGAGTTGGAATTGACTCGGCAGCACTTAGCAATAACAGTAACAAGGCACAAGTCTTGCTGGGTCTGCCAACTCCCAGACTGCTGTGTCAGTAACACTGAAAAAAGGCAGCAGCGTTTGTTGGAAGACTGAAGTGCTCCCAAGGCACTGTTAAGGACCTCCAGTTCCAGGGGGTATCACTGCACTGCTTGGTGACTTCCACTGGCTTTCTCTCCTCAAAGCTGATCTTCATCTAAATCCTTAAGTGTCACAGAGTAGGTATTGAAAGACACTGCTGCCCAGCATCATGAGTGTCCAGGACAGATAAAAAGAAATTTTTGTTAACAGATGGTAATTTGAACTCCTTGAAAGAAAGGTGCTATCCATTTAAAAGCTATCAATAACATTCTCTTGAGTCCTGGTGTGGTGGTGTAGGATAGGCACAGAACTGGCAAACAAAAGGTCTGTGGTTCCAACTCACCAACTGCTCCTTGAAAACATTATACAGGTTCAATATGAGTCACAACAACAACAACAACAACAACATTCTCTAAACCAAAAATACCACAAACTCCTGGATATCAAAACTTTGATTTGGAATATTTTTTTAAAAACTGAACATTTTCAATAAACACACATGCTGTACCTGAATAAAACATCTCAAGCTGAACTAAATTCTGAGCCAAGCCAAACATACTGAGATACGAATTGTTTTATTCCTCAGGATAACTGCTCATTTCCTTTAAGCCCTGTTGGACTGCAACCGTTTTCTGGTCTGGACAGTTGTTTGCCTAAGTAGTTTAAATTCTGGTTTTGAGCCATAGTCTCTGTTCCTTTCTCCTGGATGTGCAGCCCAGGACTTTCTTACCTTGCTTCCAGCGGCACAGATGGCTTCGTTTCCCGGGCTTCTGTTGGTCAATAGCATTGCCCATCTTAAAGCTAAAGGATTACAGGGTCCTTCTAAGCCGAGGTGTCTTTGTTGAGCAGCAAATAAGGAGCCAGTCACTAGCTGAAAGGGGATTCATCCCTTGGACATCCCAAATCACCCAGAGGCAGAGACCTGACAAACCCATATAAAGACAAAGTGAGGAATTCTGCTCTGAAAAGGTCTTTGCCTTTTGCCTTTCAGAGAGGAAATCAGAAGAAAAGGCTCCTTGTCGCCCTACCGGTGAGTCTCAGTAATCGGTCTATATTAAGAACTCTTTCCTTGGCCCTCCTTTGACACTTAATTACTCATCTGCACAGCAACAGGCCCAGAGAATGGACTATATCCTATATTCCTAAATAGTTTCAATGCTGCTTTTCCTGGTGGAGGAGAGGGGGATCAGATGATCAAAAAGATGACAGCTGTCAACGGATCAACTTGGGGCTATTTCACAAAACACACCTTTTTAAGCTTCTTACCCTCTGACTGCTTCCATAAAGATTTACAGCCTCGGAAACCCTGTGCAGGGTCGCTATGAGTCGAAACCGTCTCCACGGCACATAACAACAACAACAACCCTCTGACTAGTGTGAAGAAGCACCAGGTGCTAACTTTTGCCAGAGAAAACAAGTTGATCTCATAATACTGTGCTGCCCACAAAATAAAACTAATGTCACATTGCAAGCCTATACCTCAATTTGTAAGAAAAGATCATGGAGGGGAAACAACACAGTTTGTAGTTTGTAACCTCGAATTCAATTTCGAGAAGGATTTTGCTGGGGCAAATGTGCCAACACCTGAACCTTTTACAACAGGTCTGCTGGAAAAAAAGGCATGAAATCATATACTTTTGGGTAAAAAGAAAGAAAATGTCAAGGCAGATGGAAAAATTTGATTTATAAGGGGACTTCAAGAAGTTTGTGGAAGAATGGAATGAAAAGATAATGGCATTTTCCCATAAACGTCTTGAAGCCCTCTCATTATTTTAATCCTAGAGTTTGCGGTTAGAAAAGTCCTTAAAGAATACCCGTTAGCACAGGGGTAAGGCTCTAGAGCCCAACAAACTGGGATTGGCCATCCCAGCTTCCTCATTTGTTGTTGTTGTTAAAGTGCTGTCAAATCGGTTCTGACCCATAGCAACCCTGTATAGGGTTTCCAGGGAGCAACTGGTGAGCTTGAACCACCAACTTTGAAGTTCAAACGGCTTTGCAGTCTGGCGCATTAACCCACAGCACCACACCTAGACTCCATTTGTTAAATGGACCTAATTCCAGGTCCAGGTCCTCGTCCTCAACTGTAATGAGGATCAAATGAAAGAGAATGTTTGTGAAGTGCTTAGCATGCTGCCTGGCACTTAGGAAGCCCTTGATAAATATTTACCTTCATCATTTTTATCATCTCTGACTGTGAAACTGTATTAGCTCACATGGCGGATTTCTGGCTCTGCCAATTTAGCCAAAACCATACAGTCAAAGCACAAATATAGTTCATTCAATGGGGCTGGATAGTACAATATGGAGCTAAAGAATAAAACTGAAGTAAAATGTAAAGACAGCATTAAAAAAAAAAAAAAAAAAAAAAGAACCAAAGAGCCGAGGCTATGTTTGAGAGGCACTAAATGCCATCCCAAGAAGTGCTGGTAGCATAGTGGTTACGAATCGGGCTGCGAACATTAAGGCCAGCAGTTAGAAACTACCAGCCGTTCTGCAGGAGAAAGATAAGGCATTCTGCTCCCGTAAAGATTTACAGCCTTGGAAACCCTGTACAGGGTCGCTATGGGTCGGAACCGACTTGACAGCACTTATCAACAACAACAAATGCCATCCCAGTTGATTGTTCAGTTTGCTCTGTTACAACTTCCAAGCCCCTCAGCCAACATGTTCCACCAGCCCCTGACCATTCTAGGCAGCTGGGGCAGGGAATAATCTAGCCAGTTTATGCAAAATGAATGAAACCAAATGCAAATTTCTTTACCATCTTGAGACTCCATCTTTTCATTCACAAATCTAAAAATTATTTTTACAGAAATTCCTCCAATGATGTGACAGAAATAACAACAAACAGACCAAGGCCAAGGCCAGTACCCACCCAGTCCCACCGTCCTCTTCTCAAGACCAAACTACCACCACAGCTGAAAAGAGCAAAGGCCTGTTCAAAACCACCATGACACCAGAGGTCCACAGAAACATAACAGTTACACTCAACGCCCACTCCATCAGCAATCATCCTTCATCCTTCTGGTAAATTCTGGAGACCTCATTGATTTGTTTCTACTAAATGCCGTAGCAATTCTCTTTATGCAAGTGTTCAATGCCAAGTATCTGACCTCACTTCTCTCACAAGATATTCTTTTAAAAACCACAACAGATCAAAAAGGCTCCATTTACAACCATTGATTTAGGATATATTTTGCTATGCATATTCCCCAGAACAGCAGCAACAAAATAAATTACTAAAACAAAGAAAGAACACCGAGAACAAACAAATAAAAAGTAGAGTCTACAAAAACGGCTATAATTATGAACCTGTATTTTAACATCTCATTTCACCTAAACAAAATTTTACTTGTAAACACTTAGGCAAACAGTTTACTATGCATGATGCTGCCCAGCACTTTGCAGAATGCCCAGAACACAGCAGGAGCTTAATAATTCTGTTGAACAAACAGATGGGTGGATAGGAGAAGGAATAAACGAATGAACAAATCAGAATTCTTCCTTCACAAGCACACACTGATTCCACCTGTCCCCTAGAATGGGTTAACTGGGAGTTCTGATCCATACATGAACTCTCCTTTCCTTTGAAGAGTCAGAGGACATGGGCTAAGGGGAGCAGCAACACAGTTTCAGAGGTCTCGCCCACGCCTCAGCTCAAGCAGAGTTCCCTTGTCTTGGCGTTGCATCTGAATCATTTTTTAATTTCCTAGTTGTATGGAAAGTCTTTGAAGTCAAGAACAGTCTTTTGTCAAGTGCTCGTTGTGCCTCTGCACACACAGGACAATGGCTCCAAGTGTATCCCAAACTCAGTGTATCCCAAGTTTCAAGCAACTAATTTGTAGAACTTTTCAAACTAGCTGGGAACTTCCTTGAGAGAACAACTTTGAAATGAGGATCCAGTGGTTCAATCACTTCTCAGATGAACCGTTTAGGGTTTGGGGGAGGGAAAGGGAGAAAGACATGGAATAAGCTATTCAGAAGAATTCTTCACTAGGAAAAAGTGTCTTCTAGAGCCATTCCTAAAAGCAAATACAGTCATAGTCCAAAATGGGCAAGTGATCCATCACCAGTTCACTTTTTACAGAGACGACATACATTTCTAACAGATGGGATTAATAGAAAATGAAATGCCACCAGATGTAGGAAGCTCACTGCATAGCCAGCTGATATTTTTCCATGTCTTGTCCAAATGCTTCCAAGATGCTGTCTGTGGGTGTATGTACTGCTTTCAATCAGACCATATTTGACTATATGTCATTCAAAGTAACTCCTTCCAATATTACTATAACAAAAGCCCCAAATCACTGACTCAAGAAGGCAGGCAGGGCTGAGACAGACTTATAATATCTTCTCCTCCAACAATTCCCGGCCCTGTTTTACAGATGAAGGGTCGGACTACGCCCCAGAGAGGAGAAGGGTTCAGGACTACATTCTTAGTGGGAGAGCCATATCCTTGGCTAGAAAGCTACTACACATTTCCTCATGACTGGAATAGCAGTGGAAGGGTGCTAGCTTTGCAGGAAAGCTAACCTGGCTTGAACTTCTGTGCTGGCAATTCCTAGCTGGGCAACTTGAAGACAGAATTTAACCTCTCTGGTTATTTTCTCTCACGTGTAAAATGTACAGTTATGTAAACTACTTCATAGGAAAGTTGTAAGGGTTAAATAAGATTGTCTGAAAATACTTGAAGCACAGAAACACTCGCTACTGTTGCTGTTTTATTATTTTAGTAACTATAAAGCTCTAGCTTTAGATGCAATCAATAGAGAATTATTTACCTTGCCAAGGGATTGGGATCCACCCCACCCCAGTCCCCAAGACAGTAAGATTCACTGCAGCATTCTGGTAAATAACTCATTCTCTTGTTGCTGTTAAGTGCCACTGAGTCAATTCTGACTCATACCGATCCTAAATAGGGTTTCGGAGGAGCAACAGGTGGGTTTGGACTGCCAATCTGTGGTTCACAGTCCTGTGCCGTTCCTACAGTACCACATCAGGAGTCCCATTATCTTAGTGCAATTAAAATGCTACTCACAGACATTTGCACCACAGGAATATTATTTTGATTATAAGAAGAGGCATAAACCATGGTGGCAAATGAAGTTTGAAACATTTTAGGGAATGTCTCACCTACACGTAAGACGAAATCTAAGTCATCGATTCCTGCAAGGAGTCATTCACTTAAGGGAGTTTTTTTTTTGTTTTGTTTTGTTTTGTTTTTTTTTAAGTTAGAAGTCATGGTTCAAAATATTAATAATTAAGTACCTTCAAGTCAATTCTGACTCATAGTAACCCTGTATAGGGTTTCCAAGGAGCAGCTAGTGGGTTTGAACCATCAACCTTGTGGTTAGTAGCTGAGAACTGATCCTACAACACTGCACCAGGACTCCCAAAAAAGATCAATGGGTCCCTATAATGTCTGCATTCACCCACCAGAGCCAAAGAGAAAGAGGCTGTACTCTCAGTGGGATCCCAGTAGCTGACATGTATGAAAATGCATACATAGAAGTTTTGTGTATGGAATTTGTTTGCTGGGAGGAAAGTCTGATGTTGATCACTTCCCCTCTGGAGAAAAATACAATACGAGGAAGCGCCAGGCACTATGGGAATGTTCCAAGTGGGAGTTCCAGCTCAGTCAAGAACATCAACAAAGGGGAATGGCCTGCCTTGAGGTCAAGCCCAACAGTGCACTGAAGCAGAAAGTCTGGAAGGCACTTATCTGGGCGTGAGCTCCTGGACACAGCCCTCTGGACTTTGAAGTGACTTTGCTGCCCGCCCTAGAGGAAATCGT